CTATGGAGTGACGTTTGACTTCTTCCCAGGACAATGAGATTATAAAATAGCTAGTTACTTGGGTAGTCAGGTGACTAGAGGTAATCCAAAGTAGACTAAGTAGCTATTTTGGTACATTCCCCAAACTGTTGGGTACTTACATTGTCTATGTATGTGTGTATTTTCGAAAATTTAAAGATTTTTATGTTCCATTGTCTAAGATATGAAGCAAGTTTTAACCATTATCTGTGAAAAAGTTTGTAAGTCTCTTTAAAATAATATTATTTTGAATAATTCTACTACTATTATTCTATTATTTTTAAATGAACATATAGTCTTAAATCTGTTGGGTTGTTTTCTATTTTGTAATAATATTCGTCAATTTTTCAAAAAAACTCCAATGTCATATTCTTCCAAACATTCATCTCTGTTGAATCAAAGTACTCGCCAAACAATTGTAATTGTTAACACTTAAAGTTACTCTATTGTTATAGAGTTTCAACATGAAATTCATTTACAGTTACTTTTTTAAACAAATAGAATTTAAAGAATATTTTTTATAAACATTTTATAAACCAAATTTTACTTAATCCATTTACTTATATTTTTACTTTTGTTTTTAAACCTTCACAAATTGTTTCTTCTTTCTATCTACTTTAAACGGTCATTCAACTGACACTCACTGTACACAATAAACACATGCCCCTTTTAGAATTATTAAATAAAGATTTTGTCATCTAAAAAACATCTTTTTATATACAAAAAAATATTTATAATTTGGAAGAGGGCACGTCATTCATTACAATTGTTGTACATAGAATTTAAAAATTTTGCTAAACTAAAATTTTTACATAAAATTTAAATTGAAACTCTATAACAATTTCCTTATCAGCATTTTCGCTTTCATTCAACATTTAAAATATTTTTTTTATATTTTTCTTAAAGTACAGCTATAGTATATAATTAATTGGTTTTTATTCATGTATTTCTATTTACAAACATCTTAGAATATAATTTATAGATTTTTTGAATTATTCTTGTTGTTTTTGTGAATACGTTATGATAGTGTATTATGGTCATGAGGGATGTTAGGAAATTATGGTGATAAATCTAATGATTATTTTATTTGATTAAACAGCTCGTTATACTTAGTGTTTCCTTTAACAATCCTATAGATTTGATATATGTATTTTTCGTGTGGAAATTTACGATGATCCAATGATCTCTGATTTAGAGTATTTAAAAAGTTTGACCTTACAGCAGATACTTTACAGTACAGATCCATAAATTCAGTGGACGTAATGGAGAAGGGACGTTGAAAGTCCTGGCGGACATAAGTAGGAGATGACACATACTATCGGCAAATATAGTCCTTCTTGTAATAATTCCTAAAGTACTACTCTCAGAACTATTCTAAATGGTTCTCAATTGGGGTATAAACTCTGAGAATTTTAATTTGTTTTAACAATTTGACTGTGTTCTTCCCTGCAATTAATGTAAGAATATGCTTAGTTATACATAGGCCAACATACTTTTTTAAAGGATTGAGCCGCGCTGAATCTGTCTTCATAATTTCACAATCACATCTGAGATTTGAGATATCGTGTTCATAAATGTAAAAAATGACTCTTTTGGCCCTTTTCGAGACGTTATAACTGCGTTATCTCGAAACAGGGTTTCGTCTTTTTTCAAAATTCGTCGGCCTATGTTATTCGTATTATTCCCTAATAAATCAGGATCCCTCTACATGAACCGATCTGTGACAAAGTCAACTGAATCTAATAATTGCCCCGACAAATAGTCGCGTAGCATGAATCAATATATCCTGTTGAGATGGCAACAGCACCGAGAAACTTCTCCGAAGCGTAAAAAGGCACACTAAATCAGTACTAATCTCCTATATATGGAGACTTTCCCAATCTTTCACCAATTTTTGCATTAGTTCAATTCCCATGATCATAAAGATCTCTCTACGGAATGACAGGCAACTACCGAACGCTAACCTGACAATTCCCCATCATATACCGGCTCCCTACTACACGACCGGTAAGAAATACCAATCGGGTACAGGAATCCAGCATATGCTGCTTTGTACCAACGCATTATGTATAGGATATATCAGCCCTTAAATCAACATTCTCTTCCCGCGAAAATTTGGTTGTGCCCTGAGAAGTGGGCTGTCGCAAACTACCCCCAATATATTTTAATTCGTCTTTTGGCGGACATTTTCAGCGTCATAATCGCGATTTTTGTAACATGATCCATGGTAACAAAGCTCATTAGTTTTTAAATATGACTGAGAAGTATCCCAGCAAAAAAAGTGTGGAAAAAGATGTAGAATTTTCATCACAACTAGTAACCCGAAGTGCTTCAAATTCGGGTGTAAAACCTATGAATTTTACATTTGCGTGTCATTGGAGGGATGTTGTTCATTTTTGGCAACTTTGAACTACATCTAATCTTATTTTTAGAAGCAGTAAAAATCCGAAATTTGGATGTCAAAAATAAAACACATTCTCTTAATGACACGCTTATGTAAATTTCACTACTCTTTCACCAAATCTTGATGTACTTCAAATATGTTATTTGTAATGACTTTTCCACATCTCTTTCCTCACTTTTAACTGGGGTTTCATTTGTAAGGAAATATTTGGTTTATAAAAGTGAAAAATATGTAATCGCATTTTAAGATGTGATTAAGATGTAGTTTGTAAAGTATGACATCAATTATTTTTTGCTGGGATATGTACATTTACACAGAAGATTCCAAAAAGTGGGTAATGTCTTCTTTATTAAGAAGATTGAAATCAAAATAAATCTTAGATTCAACGACAATTCTAGTAATCTTTAAACTAGCTGGTAAATTGACATGGGTTCTATCGAATTTACACTGAAATCCAAGATTGCACTGAGCGGTATGCTAACCACATCTAAAGTATTCCATCTCTATATGAGTGGTTTAGAATACAAGGATCTTATGGTCTATATTGGGCTTTATAGCTACGTATTTTGTCGATCTAAAATAGGTCCATAATTAAAGTTTAGTAAGTGTTCATGGTACAAAATATCTAGATTTTCCTTATGACTGTCATAAAATCTCTCTCACAGCATTATTTGGGTACAAGCATTTCATTTTAATGCTGACGATCTGTCGTAAATGTGTTTTGAATGAACTGAGTTTCATATCATGTTTGGGATTGCTTCCGCTCTTTTTTACTTTTTGTAGATGTCAGAAGGGAACCAATCAGAACTCCTCTCCAGTTGAATATGATATGACAGTCCGGATATACGATTTTATTTAACAAGAATCTGTCCTGACCTAGAGCTTGTGGGATTTAATTAGGCGATAATATTTTCGGATTTACGGGGATTTACGGAGCTTTGCTGAGAATTTTTTTTTATTTGGTTTAGTTTTTCTACGGAACTATATTATACATTTCCATCAGTATCATGCAAGTTATCAAAAGCTATAGAAATCGTGTAAAATTCTTAGCCAAACGATGTTTAATTTGCAATCCTCCCTCGTATATTATTTGCCGGCTACATAATTATTATTATTATTTTTATTATCAAACAGCAGCATTATAATAGAGACAGTGACGACAAACACTCTATTCCACTACATCTAACCATCCATCCATCTATCACTCGTACATGAATTTAAATCTGACTATGCTCATCATACCCGTGTGTGAGTCTTAATGTTGATGTTTGTATACGAATGTCACGATATGTGAATGAGTTTGAGTGAGTGTATATGTGAGTTTTCAGTTCGATGTTTTCAATACGTATGGATTTTGTGAGTAGTGAGAGTGTGATGGCAGTGACATCAAAAATGAATATTAAAATCTAATTTTTGAGGAGGTGGTGAACAACAAGATTCGCTTTTCTGAACAAAATTAAATTGAATAGTTCATGTTAAATTAAATAATTCAATTGAAGTCGAAGATAAAAGCAAAAATAAGTTTTGGAATATATCTGATGTTTTCATTTGCTTTTTCTCGATTAAATATAAAGTGTATGTGTTGTTGTTGCCGTTTTTTTTTTTAAATTTGTAAACAAAATTAATGGTTCATTATGTCTGATTATTACTGCATGGATTAATGGTGTTGAAAAAGAAATTAAAATTATTTGGATATTTCAGTGGAGATGAAAACAAAAATGGAATTTATAGAAGATAAATACTGCTTTTTTAATTATATTTTCCTGTTTGCAACTGTTGTGGAATAATTGTACAGTAGTTTGTGCAAAATAAAGTGTTTATGATAAAAAAGGACTGTTTATAGTTATTTTCTAAAACAAATATTTTAGTTCTTTTCAGAATACAACTTTTATTATAATTCTTAAAAAATTATTGTTATTTTCCTAGAAATTGTTATTGCGCGCAAAAATTCTGTCTGTGTTTGATACTACTGTTGTGTCTATACACTCCTTAGCTTAGCTATAGTTGGCCTATATTCTTTTTGGGGTTTGTTTTTGTTTTCTCGCTAAATAAAACAACAAAATTTCTTTATCAATAATATAATATTTTTGTTCTAAATAATATTTTATGCACACACAATCCAATTGTTTCATTATTTTTATTAAAAATAAGTAATAAGACAGCAGTATTGGCTGGTTTTCTTCCTCCGATTTTTATTGTTTTTCCCCCCAATCTAACCCCAAAAAGGTATAAGATTTCAGAGGCGCAGCTGATAAAGAACTAAGAAAGTACACAAAACAATATACAAATGTATGTATGCAAATAAAAGAACCTAAAAAATAAACACCGTGACTATTGTATAATATTGGAAAAAAAAAGTAAATGAAATTTTGTTTAACTATAAACATTGATGACACAAACATTTAGGCGAAATAATAATAAAAAAGAACACAAAGATAACACAATTAATAGACTGTGTGGTTCACTAATTTTTTTTTTTTTTTGGATTATTAAATTCTTGTTAAAATTGTTCATAACTCCTAAAAACAATTTCATTCATTAAATTTGTTTTTGTATCTTTTTAATTGTTTAATTTTAGCTTCAATATATTTAATATTAAACACTATACTACCACCATACAATATACGCAAAATGTCCAGTGAAGAGGATAAACCGCCAGCTCCACCTGTGCGCCTGACTAGTAATCGTGGCGGTGATCGTGTTGGTGGTAGTTTGGGCTCAGTAACAGGTTCTGGTGATGGTCCACCTGTGGATATGCGGCCTTTACCTAAAGGTTTTTCTTTTTATTATATTATTATTTAATTTCAAAATAATAAATATTATTTCTTATAGAACCCGATGATCCTGATCGTAAAAAGAAAACCTTAAAAAATAAAATAAAAGGTTCTAAACCGTCACATCAAGATTCTAAACCCAATATTTCATATCCTACTAATTTTGAGCATACTGTTCATGTAGGTTTCGATGCTGTTACGGGAGAATTTACGGTAAGTTATCTTTTTGTTTGTATTCTCTACTCATATACTTCAGTAAATATTTAAGTTTTAATATTGCATTGGAATGTGTTTTTAAAATTTTCTTTACTTCCCCAATCATATTTTTGGAAATGTTATTTTTAGGCTAGGAATTTGATCCATTTGTATTGAGTTAATATACCTTTAATTAATCTTCTTAATTGGTCATTTGCATATGTAAGAATATCGTTATACCAGGTGCATTAGTAATTTCATTTTAAATCGTCATTTGTTTTTAAATTCTCTTTAATTTGTTCTAATAAATTTCATATGAAAATTTGTTCTAAGAAAATTTGATGATATTCACTTAAATAAGCACATCATTTGCAAAATGTTTTTTGCACTCTTTGCTTTTCTAATGAGCTACTCACTACTCTGCATCAAATTTTTAAAATAGACTGTTTTTTTTTACTTTTCTCTATTAATTAAACAATATTTTAACGATATCGAAATGATATCTCCTAGGTGATAAATATTATGAAAAGTGATATTTAAACTTTAAAGACAAAATTGTATATTTCCTTATTGCATAGTTTTTTTTATGGAATTATGTTATCATTTTAACTCTAAATGCAAGATGTCAAATTCTAAAATTGAGACCAAGCTACCATTTTGTAAAATCCGCTGAAGAAATAGAAAAACTACGATTTCTTATGTGTGCCTTATTGGTATCATGGCTATTTCTAAAATCCACCATAAAAATATGGTGCATGTATAGATTTTTAAATATTTATCTCGCTATATTCGTCCATCTGTCTATTAAAAGCTCGATAAGTCCCAAATCGGGGGGAGCTATTGTTGAAATTGAATGTGCATATGCAATGCAACTCTGTTTGACAATGCGAATATTTACTACTCTGTTTTTCTTCTGTTCTTTTTTTTTTGTTATACTTTGTATTTTTAAACTAAACTGATTTTATGTTTCATTCCTGAATAAACTTTTGAATTGTCCACACGTGTCGTCTTTATTTGAAAAGAATCAGAGGCAAGAGTACAGTATCCCAACAGGTTATGGGCCCAGTGACATTGAAGATTAAATAGTTTCTAGTGAGAAAACATTAATTGAGTGAAAATGGCCTCTATGTTTAATATACCGAAATTGGATGACACGAATTATGACTCATGGAGTCTTCAGGTGAAAAGTGTGCTTATACACCAAGATTTGTGGTCCGTTGTGTCAGGAAGCTTGACAAAGCCTGAGCCAACTGCTACGAACGCTGCTGCAGTGGCAGAGTGGATTGCAAAAGATGAAAAGGCAACGGCAACGATAATATTGTGTTCAACCCCAATGCAAATAGCTCACATAAAGAATTGTGAAACTTCTAGTGATACCTGGAGAGCATTAAAGGAGGTACATCGTCCAAAGGGACCCGTGCGTAAGGTTACGTTGTTTAGGCAGCTTCTACAAACCCGTATGGCAGAAGATGAGTGTGTTCAACAATACATATGTAATTTTGGTACAATTGTTGACAAATTGGCTGAAACCGGTGTCACCCTTCAGGAGGAGTTGTATGTGATTATGTTACTCGCTAGCCTACCAAAATCTTACGAGAACCTTGTGGTGGCTCTTGAGGCGAGAGATGACCTTCCGAAATTATCTACACTAAAGGTTAAATTAATTGAAGAAGGGGAACGTAGAAAGGTAAACAACAGTGGAACAACAAGTACAGATAGTAGCGTGCAAGTTTTTATGGCGAAAGAGAAGAAGGGCAATCAACGAAACAGTTATAGAAAAAACAACAACAATACAAATGAAAACAACGGTTCTCGAAGAAAATCAAACTTTAAATGTTTTAGTTGTGGCAGAATTGGTCACTATGCGGCACAATGCAAAGAAAAGGGTGCAAAGGCAGAGCAGAAAGATGATCGAACACATCGTGCTTTTTCTATTTCAAATGACTGTGAACTACGAAAGAACATTTGGTGTGTTGACAGCGGCGCGTCGACGCATTTGTGTTGCGACCGCAACATGTTTGATCAGTTTGAAGAACATGAAGAGGAAATTGTAATTGCTGGTAGTAACAGAATACAAACTGAAGGAAAAGGGCAAGTTTACATAAAGGAGTTTGACTTAACATTGAAAGAGGTTCTATATGTTTCGTGTTTGCAATGTAATTTTATTTCGGTTGCTAAAGCTGTAAGTAATGGTTGTACTGTAACTTTCGACGACACAAAGGCTTTGATAAAAAAAGGCGGTAAGGTTTGGTTAACTGCCAAAAGAGTCGGCGGCTTATTTTTGTGTGGTGTAAATGATAATGAATGTTTATTTTCATGTGAAACCACTGAGGAGGCGATGAAATGGCATAGACGTTTTGGCCATATGAATTTTGCTAGCTTGAGACAACTAATAAATAAGGAAATGGTTTTCGGCGTGAAACTGACTATCCCTGATAATATGAGCTGCAATGTTTGCTTGCAATGTAAATGCAGTGTTGGACCATTTAAACATTCGGAGAACAGAGCCAATGATTTGCTGGAAATAATACACAGTGACGTTTGCGGTCCCATGAATACAACTTCCAGTGGCGGTGCAAAGTACATGTTAACGTTCATCGATGATAAGAGTCGATATGTATTTGTTTATTTTCTTAAGAATAAATCCGAGGTGTTCGGAAAATTTAAAGAATTTAAATCTATGGTTGAGCGGCAGACTGATCGGAAAATTAAAATATTGCGCAGTGACAATGGCACTGAATTTGTAAATGGAGCATTTGATGAGTATCTTAGGGAACATGGAATTGTCCGGCAGTTGACCGTTCCCTATACACCCCAACAAAATGGCGTTGCGGAAAGGTTCAACCGCACATTGGTCGAGATGGCGAGATGCATGCTGGTTGATGGGGGCGTTGCTGAAAATCTTTGGGCCGAGGCAATTAATACGGCTGCATATTTACGAAATCGCTGCCCCACGAAAGCATTATGTGATGTAACGCCGCATGAAGTTTGGTTTGGACGTAAACCAGTTGTTAAGCATCTAAGAGCGTTTGGGTCAACTGCTATTGCCCTCGATAGGAAACAGCATGATAAGTTTAAACCAAAGGGTAGGGAATATATTCTGGTCGGGTATTCCGACACGGCCAAGGCTTACAGATTATATGAAAGGGATACCGGTAAGGTAATTGTGAGCAGGGACGTTTACTCCATAGAGACAGAATCGGGAGAATTTGTTGATATTGAAATACTATCGAAAACGGCAGTACAACAAAATGATAATGAGGAAATGAATATTGAGGAAGTTACCCAGGATGAAAGCGACTATGAATCGGCTGATGATTTTTGTGGATTTGAAGAGGTTCCTGAAAGAAGGAGAGCCGGAAGACCCAAAAGTAATCGCACAGGAGCACCAGGTAGACCCAAGAAAATATACAATACAGTTAATTTAATGTGCTCTGGAAATATCGACGTTCCCGAAACCGTTAATGCAGCTCTATCGAACGAATATTCGAGTTTTTGGTGGAATGCGATGGAGAGTGAGTATACTGCACTTTTGAAGAATAGAACGTGGGAAATGGTTAAGCTTCCTCCGGAACGAAAGGCAATCGGTTGTCGTTGGGTGTTTTCGCTTAAGAAGAACAAGGCAGGTGACGTCGAAAGGTTTAAGGCTAGGTTGGTAGCGAAAGGCTGCTCGCAAGTTTATGGAATAGATTATGGGGAAACATTTTCTCCCGTCGTAAGATACGAAACTATAAGAATGGTGTTTGCGTTTGCAGCTGAGTACGAGTTACACTTACACCAGATGGATGTTTCTACAGCATACCTCAACAGTGAATTGGATGATGACATTTATATTACACAGCCCGAAAAATTTGTTGACGAGAGAAGACCACGTATTAAAAGACCATGTATTAAAGTTGAAGAAGGCATTATATGGCCTCAAACAATCAGGCCGCCAGTGGAATCGTAAGTTAAATTCTTTGTTGAATGAAATTGAATTTTATGCGTGTGAGAGTGAGCCATGCCTTTATATAAGGAAGAGTGAGAATAAGGTGAATATAATTGCAGTATATGTAGATGACATGTTAATTGCGTGCTCGGATATCAATGACATGAAAATTATAAAACGTGAAATTTCTAAGAGAGTCGAGGTAGTGGACAAAGGGCCAGTAAACCATTTTTTGAACATTGAAATAGAAAGAGATGGACCAACGGGATCAATTGCAATTAGTCAAAAGGCGAACATAGAACAGTTACTGAAGCGATATAATATGGATAACTGTCGATCAGTGTCGACACCTTTGGAGCCGAACTTCCAAATTGCATGCAATGACGAGAATTGTAAGAGAGTTGACCAGGTTGAGTATCAGTCGTTAGTTGGTTCTCTCATGTACATTGGCTTATGTACCAGGCCTGATATCATGCACTCTATATCGAAACTATCTCAGAAGAACAGCGATCCACATGTAGAGCATTTTACAGCGTTAAAGAGAATGCTAAAATATTTGAGCAAAACCAAGGAGATGCAACTAAAGTATTGTAAAACTGGCCATCCAATCGAATGTTACGTTGACGCAGACTGGGGAGGAGATTCTATTGACCGTAAGTCATATACCGGCTATATTTTCCTTTTAGCTGGTGCGGCATTTTCATGGGAAAGTCGTAAACAACAATCAGTGGCCTTATCAAGCACTGAGGCTGAGTACATGGCACTATCTTCTGCGGCCAAGGAAGCAACATACATAGGAAAGCTATTGAAGGAAATTCAATTACACAACAACAATGTAATTGTAATCCAAGGTGACAATATGGGAGCATTACAACTGGTTAAAAACCCCATCTATCATGCCCGTAGTAAGCATATAGACATCAAGTACCACCATGTCAGGGATTTATATGAGAAGAAGCTGATAGATTTGAAGTACTGCAGCACTAATGATATGATTGCTGATGTGTTGACCAAGAATCTGCAGAAGGTTAACCATGAACGTTTTTCGAAACTTTTAGGTCTGGTTAAATAATTAATGGTTATTTATAAT